CTGATAAAGAGAAGATGAAGGTGATCCAGCGGCATTCCATAGAATTTACAAACACGTAAGATGTACAGACGACTACTGGCTTTCGATATAATATTATCAAAATGTAAGTCCCAGTTACACGGATCAGATTGAAAAGTTACACCCAACAACTTCAGACATGGTTTACGCTCTATAGAAACCAGAGGAGCAGGTAAGGCCTTAGTGGATTTGCCTCTAAGAAGCATCTCCCACGTTTTCTTGAAGTTTAGTTGCATACGATTAGCAGATGTCCATGCGACGATCGATCGGACCTCCTCAGCTGCTAAATTGCCGTTATTAGCCAGCGATTTTACTGGAATACTTAATGTTAAATCATCAGCATATTTCACAAGTAAATTCTGATTTGGTAGAATGGTCTTAATATCATTGACCATAATAGAAAATAGTATAGGGCCTAAAACTGTCCCCTGAGGGACACCTCTATTGATATTTACATAGTCCGTGACAATGGCATCAACAACAACTCTTTGTTTCCTGTTCTGTAAAAAACTAATAATCCAATTGGTCACGTATGGATTTATATCAAGTGTTTTCAACTTAGAGCAGAGGATATCATGAGGGACCGAATCAAAAGCTTTGCTGAAATCAAAAGAGAAGATTCTAACACAATCAAAACCCGACTCAAGCCATTTCAGCCAAGCATATTGACACTTAATTAAGGCCATTGTCGTATTGTGGCCTTTGCGGTATGCAAACTGGTCGAAGCTAATGAAGTTCTTCATATATATATATAACCCTCATTATTACATTAGTCAGCGAAATAGGCCGCAACTGTGTGCAATTTTTAAAGTTGGGCTCTTTAGGCAAGGGAGTTATGTCGGCCAATTTCCAAAGATCAGGCACAATGTGATTTTCCAAAGAACAGTTGAAAATATGGGTAACAACAGGAGCGAGGTCGTACGCAAACTCTTTCCAAAACCAGTACGGGATTCCATCTGATCCAGTTCCTATTAAAATGCAGGAAGTTCACTTGACCCAGGCAGACATCTATCCACCTTAAAAATGTTATTACACTTATAACGTTAGAGCTCTATAAAATATTTATCTTTGTGGGTACCTTAGCGGTTAGATATATGGGGGTCGATAACCTCTCACGCACTGCACAGGATGAAATAGCTCAATTAAGTTGCCTTGAAGTAACTTAAAGGCTAACATAAGAAACATGAGGTCTCACAGCTATTTGCACTAGAGGTTTAGTAACCTTATAAGTTTTGGTAAGAAATGCAACGGCATTTAGCAGTTAAAGCTCTGTTTTATCTTTAAGATGTGTTCTTCATTCTAGCTTTTCTTCCCATACTAGAAATTGTGCCATAAACAATAAATTCAAGGTTAAACTGCAGAGCACAATAGCCACACTTTCGCACCACCAACCACAGTCGGGAGTTAGTTCATTATTTGAAACAATTTTAGCAATTACAGTAGAATTTGTGAGTGAGCTTTATTGAAAAGCAATGTAACTTTTAATAAGTTAATTGTTGGATTCTCAGTCTGAAAGTTGTAACTTTGTGTTAAACTGTAAGTAAGAAATGTCATGTGTGCCCTTCTAAGTGTGCCAAAGAACTGTTCATAATTCTTTATTGTAGAGAGTTTAATTTTTTTGAAGTGCACATTAATTGGTTTTAATTTTCATAGTTAATGAAAATGCAGTCAAAATACGCTTCCCTCAGACTGTTGTGCAAATGGTGCACAGTGACATGATGTGTGACGAGCTGCTTTCTTGCATAGACGATTAGGGTAACCCAAAGATTGAGTCTTGCATGTATGAGTGAAGGCAAATTATTATATGCATTACTCCTCAGACTTCCAAATTACATTTCACGGAGACCTTTCGATTTTTCTAGATATATATATATATATATATATATATATATATATATATATATATATCATATGTGGCTTGTTTTATTTCAGTACTTCATATATTTGCAAAAGAGACACGAGCTTTAATGCAAAGCAATTGAGGCAGGGGGGGCTCATTTAATCGCTAGATACAAACTCTATGAGCAGTTTGTCTGTTTACCTCCTAAAACTGCATCAATTACCAGCTTAGAATTTCGAAATCAATGAAACTCTTATTTGTCCATCAAATGACGAAGTAAGTTGAAGTTTTGTTACTCACGTTTATTTTCCTGAAAGTTCAGGGCACATTGCCTAAGAGAAAGAAAAATTTCACTTGATGTGCAAATAAAACCCTTTTTCGCGGTGCAATCGTTCCTTCCCATTTGCAGTGGGGATTTCGATCACTCTGATTAAAACCTCCGCTATCAACATTGATTGGAGGGATGTGGACTGACTCGATCACATAAAATACACAAGATCATTCCATATGGAATCAAGAACTTAAGTCAAACCTAAGCACTGACAGGATTTGGAAACCACACCCTTATCGGTACTTTCTGCCAACATCAGTAAAAAATAGATGAGCTCCAAGCCAATGGAATACTGAATTAAAAGAGTTAGTTAGACCCCATTCAAACTGCTATTTCTTTACTTGGACAGAAACAGTACCTAAAAAATTACTATTTGACACAGGTATGGGGAAGGTAAACTTAACTGCAGTAGGTCAAGAATACTTTTAAGATCTTTATTCACACAGGTTTCGACGTTTTGGCAGAATAAAAATTGTATTGTATACTCACTGGCATCGAGAGTGATCCACTATTTCTCAAGTGAGGTAGATTATTGACGTATCAAATTTATCTTCACAACGACAATATTTCATGCGGTAAAGTAGCGATTGTCGTTTACTGTAGCGTTAAATTTTGTGACAGTGTCAAAAAATACCATAGCCAGCGGACCGTGCGAGTTTTACGATGGCCGGAGGTTGCAGGATAACGTGCTTTACCAATATAAATCTTATTAGTATGACAAGACGATCCCGAAAAATGATGATTGAATGTTACAGACGTCAATTACAGCACAATAATAGAATAATAAACACAATAGTTGTTAATAGAATTAGAAAAAAGGACTGGTAAACTTTAAGTTCCGTCGACAGATGGGGACTAGTAATCAACTCTCAGACCTCCCGATTTTGCGGTTAGATACTCTACCATTGAACTTAAAAAAAATAATCAGCAAAGACATAATTTAGATGCAATAAGCTTAAGTGTCCTCTCTACAACTAAGATTAGTACTGTCCTATTTATTTGCACGTTCACTTTCCATTTGTAGCCAGAAAAGCCTTATCACGATCAAGAACGGGAAAATACTCACATATCTTGCCAAACCATTAGAGACTCTAGAACTTACTCTCTCGCGGCCACAGCGCATATATATATTTGACAAGGAGTGTGACTTACAAATTACGCTGTCCTTTTCAGCCCTGTCACTTTAAGATTTGAGTGGCCCATTCCCGCCTCATTTGTGGCCTACATTCAATTGTACCAACATTGATTCCCTTTTTGTCCAGGGTTAAACATTAGTGAACTTGTGACTTGAAGGTAATGCACCTCTTATCTCAATCACTGCTGTACCTCTCTCTTTTAAAATTCAATAATTTCCTCAATCTTGATTTTATATCATTGATTTAAGAAGAAAGTTGGACCTCTCTAGTTAATGGACTTTGAAAATGATACTTCAGAGTCGAACTTGGAAAAATATTGAGCTTTTAAGTCGAAAGTCTTCATATAACAATTGATGAATTAGAGTCCGATTTTAAAAGTTCTTAGTCAGAGATTAGGACAAAGAAGGCTTAGAAGTTGTAGGTAGACAGTTAGAGGTCCAACGCCGGAAGTCAGAAAATCATACGTCAATAGCCGACAAAACAACTCCGAAATCAAATTTCCAAAATGCGAAGTCTGAGGTCGGAAATAGAACTCAGAACTCCCAACTGGAATGTCCGAAATCTAAAGTTTGAGGTCCGAAATGGAAAAATTTTAAATCGATAGCCGCAAATAGAACTCCGAAATCCGAAATCGAACGTGTGAGATTCAACCTCGTAAAAGCAGAAGTCAGAATTACTGTTGTGACGACTGATCCCCCTCCCCGTTCCCCCTGAAAACCATGTGATCCCCCTCCCCCCCCCCCTCCGTGGCCTATAATTTTCATTTTCTTCTGGAACCCCCATCTTGAAGGAAAACAAAACAGCTTTACTTTTAGTTAGCAGAACCTTCGAGAAACAGGCCCTTGGATACACCGCTGAATTATTGATAGCTAATAAAATATAATACAGTCGTAAAATCGTTGTCCAGAATATCAACTAACAAAACATATGAGAGTGAAACTCTGCCTGACACTTTGGTTTTGCGGTAATTTATTTCAATTTTCTCTGACGTTCTTTGGTCTTTTTCAGTCCAAACATGACTGAAAAGTGAATCTGATTAATTAGAAATGCGTCAGTGAATTTGCATATCAAAAGGTTAAACATCAGCAGAGCTTCCTCGAGTGATCTGTATTCAACTCTCATTAGCACAAGATACTTTCAACAATTGTCATAACGATCAAAAAATATTCACAAACTTAAATACGAACCCCAAATTGTCTACAAATCCCCAGTAGTTTGCAGGTATAAAACATGTTCCCTTTTAATAATAATTAATTGTGGTTAATAATAGTTATTTATTTTTAATTGTAGTAGTAGTAATTGTCTTTGAGAAGCTCCCTCGGAGAAAGTCCATAAAGGATGTATGTATGTATGTATGTATGTATGTATGTGTGTATTATGAGTTTCGAGTTTCTCAACTTATCAGAAGCAAAACTAAAACAAATTATGACTACCTATCCTCGTGGATGTTGATGTCTCCCCCAAAAGTATTTCAAAACAGAGAACATCGATTGTTTTGAGCTCGAGGTAACAGCTGCAAGAGATGTTGGAAAATTTAAATTATTTTGCTAAACTGAAAACTTCAAAGAATAAAAAACATACTATTTTTCCCAGTCTGTATTTCAAGGTCCTCTTTTATTCGGGTCTTACAAGTAAACATATTTCCTTTTTAAAATTTTTGTGAATCTTTCGAATGATGAAATACAAAAATGGAATCAGACAATTAACGGAGAAACATTCAAATAAAGAAATCTTCCTGGCAGGTGCAACAGCTTCTCACCTGCGAGGAAAACGTGAATGTCATTCGCAGGTCAGAATATAACAGAATTTATTTCGTAGAGAAAATATAAAGGAGTTGTCACGAAAATGGAAAAATTTGTCGTTTTCCCGATTCCGTACTAAAACATTATTTTTAGAAAACGAGATTGACCCGTGTAAACTAAACACAGATATTGTCTTGTTTGTTTTGCCAGCATTGAGAGGATACCAAATTATAAAAAGTATTAGGTATTCAATATAACAACCCGGAGAAGAAGCGGCTTGAGCAAAAAAGAAGTGTAAGGAGAAACAAGAGACCTAATCGAGTGTTCCTCCCTCCTTCTTGAGTCAAATTCCTCTGGCATTACTTTCTATTCTCAAAAAAAAAATATTTCTAATATTTGATGTGAATATTGAATATTCATATTGTTAAGTTATTTTCTGTGAACTCGTTTGATTGGTCTCTTACACGTTGATTGACACATAGACATGGGTGATATCTTAACTAAGTGATCTGCTCAAGGACATTGTGAGAAACATCATTTCCTAAGGTGGGGTATGAAAACGATAGAAATGATGGTTACAAAGTTTTTTTGTATACTTATTTCAGCTTTTCAGGTAAAGGGCTACTGCTCCACCAGAAAATGTAAAAAGATCTCTTTTGATGAGCAACAAGATGCCAGTCATGACAAAGAGCTTGTCGGCCATGTCTTCCACAATTCTGTCACTTCAAACCCACAGCAGTGCTATCTTTTGTGTATGAACGACTGTCGATGTTTGTCGATAAACTACAAGGTTAAGAACGACATCAAATACTGCGAGTTGAACGAAGGCAGCCATTTTACCAACAAAAACTCCCTGAAAAACATCCATGGCAGCGTTTACTACGTACTGCGGAAAGAATACACTACTAAGGTACTAGATTTCTCAATTTTTTTTAAATTTTATTTTTATTTTTGTATTTTTGCAATGCATCTTTGTAGCCTTCATCTTGAGATAAAAGGTGTTTAATTGAGAATAATACATGGGTGCGCTTACATTTGGAATTTCTCTTCGAGTGTTTCACTCGATAGCTCACGAGTGAGCACAACGAAAGAGAAGAATTTACCAAGTTATTAAACTTTATTACGTCATAGGGTATTTTTTTCCATGATTGATTCCAGGTATTCATCTTGATATATTCGCCATTCATTTGTTATATTAAAAACCGAAGAAGCTTCTGCCTGATGATAAACTACAAAACTAGGTCCGGTGGATGTTGATGTCTTTCCCAAAAGTATTTCAAAACAGAGAACATCGATTGTTTTGAGCTCGAGGTAACAGCTGCAAAAGATGTTGGAAGATTTAAATTATTGTCCAAAACTGAAAACTTAAAAAAAACCCTACTATTCTTCCCAGTCTATATTTTAAGGCCCTCTTTTATTCGGGTCTTGAAAGTAAACACATTTCCTTTTTTAAATTTTTATGAAAAAAGATTAATCTTTCGAATGATGAAGAACAAAAATAGAACTAGACAACAAACGGAGAAACATTCAAATAAAGAAGTGCTCCTGGCAGGTGCAACAGCTTCTCACCAGCGAGGATTATTTGAATATCATTCGCCGATCAAAAATATAATAGAATTTAATTCTAGAGAAACTATTGAAAACAAATTGTCACAAAAATGGAAAAATCCGTCTTTTTCCCGATTCAGTGGTAAAAAATGTAATTGTTTTACAAAACGAGATTGACCTAAGTAATTAAGAGAAATAAGAAAATCGAAGACTCACTGATCAGTTTTATCGAATATTTGACATTGGGCGATCTCGCTTGTTTGAATATTCGAAAAAGGGTTAATATCAAGGAACCATTATGGCATGGTCGGTATGAAAAATAGCCTATCAGAGCGAGGCATTAGAGATTTCGGGAGCGATCGTGATTGCTTGCAAACTTGATGAGAGAAAAAGCTTGGTTTTGCAACATTTTTCTGTCAAAAACAAAACAAGATCATGATATTAAAATAATGATGAAAACATGTTTCAATTTTTTCATTAATTTTTGCATAGAAGGCTCCTAACCACATCGTTCCATGTACTGTTGACGTCATGTGTACCAATGGCTGCTGCAGGAACAATCCGTGCCTCAATGGAGGAACTTGCACTGAGATCTGTCAGCCCACAAGTGTTCGGTACAACTGTTCCTGTCCTGTACCGTTTGTCGGTAAACACTGCGAGATTCAGCTGAGAAGAAGCTGTCAGGATTATAAAGCAGCCAGGTTCACCGCCTCTGGATTGTATTCCATCATTGATGACAGAAACCAAACTTTCCAAGTATTCTGTGATTTTGATTCAGAGCCTGGGTTCGCTTGGAACCTGATTGAGTCATTCAATTTGTCCAACAACCACCTTTTTAAGGTAATTTTCCCAAGATTTTAAAGCCATAAAGAAATATACCCTGTACATCCTCGTCTACACAAAATAACGAGGATGCGAAAATTAAGTGCCCTTAAAAATGAAATGCCTTCATTTTGAATTTTTTCTTAATAAGTTAAATTCGTCTGTCTTCTTAGAAGCTTTCGTCATCAATGATGTCTTTGAATGATTCTGTCAACAGAAGAAATCTTGTTTTATACACAATGACTATCCAGACTCAAGTACCATCAGCAGTAATACTTCAAATTGACAAGTGTACGTTATAAAAAAGTTCAGCCTAATTTTTGTTTCAAGCTGCTAGAATCTTAAGTTCATGGATGTGATAGTGATCTTTACCAACTGAAGTTCACATTTTCTGTCTACAGCTGATCGTATTTTACGATAACTACCAAGCCATCAGCGGTGATGCCCCAAATTGGCAGGCATACCTAATGAAACGACCCTACCTCCTTTGGCTCAGAGATCACTCGACTCACTGGAGAGCTACTTGCCGATACGACACAGATGGTACCGTACATACAGATTACTTGAGAGCCTCGCTTGAAGACTTCGACATCATTAGACAGGTACCCATAGTGATCGATGACTGTCGACCTTACGAATATGTGAACATCCGGGGAAATGAGTGTGTGAATTGCACAACAAGGACATGGTATAAAAGAGGAGCTTTTCATTTCCATATCGATAGTTCCATACAGAATGGCTGTGATTCCAGTGGAAGCATTTCAAACCAAGCCGTACACAGCGAGGACAACTTTGGTTTCTATGGCGTGGTCAATCCCAAATTTCGATGTACTTCAAGCCAAAATGCAACGACTCAGTTCTGGATTGGAGGCACTTTATGACTTTCTAATCCCTGACCCAGTTCCTGTTAAAAAGCAGGAAGTTCACTTGACCCAGGCAGACATCTATCCACCTTAAAAATGTTATTACACTTATAAAGTTAGAGCTCTACAAAATATTTATCTTTGAGGGTATCTTGGCGGTTAGATATATGGGGGTCGGTAACCTCTCGCACACTGCACAGGATGAAATAGCTCAATTAAGTTGCCTTAAAGTGACTTAAAGGCTAACATAAGAAACATGAGGTCTCACAGTTATTTGCACTAGAGGTTTAGTAACCTTATAAGTTTTGGTAAGAAATGCAACGGCATTTAGCAGTTAAAGCTCTGTTTTATCTTTAAGATGTGTTCTTCATTCTAGCTTTTCTTCCCATACTAGAAATTGTGCCATAAACAATAAATTCAAGGTTAAACTGCAGAGCACAATAGCCACACTTTCGCACCACCAACCACAGTCGGGAGTTAGTTCATTATTTGAAACAATTTTAGCAATTACTGTAGAATTTGTGAGTGAGCTTTATTGAAAAGCAATGTAACTATTAATAAGTTAATTGTTGGATTCTCAGTCTGAAAGTTGTAACTTTGTGTTAAACTGTAAGTAAGAAATGTACATGTGTGCCCTTCTAAGTGTGCCAAAGAACTGTTCATAATTCTTTATTGTAGAGAGTTTAATTTTTTTGAAGTACACAATAATTGGTTTTAATTTTCATAGTTAATGAAAATGCAGTCAAAATACGCTTCCCTCCCTTTGATTGTTGTGCAAATGGTGCACAGTGACATGATGTGTGACGAGCTGCTTTCTTGCATAGACGATTAGGGTAACCCAAAGATTGAATCTTGCATGTATGAGTGAAGGCAAATTATTATGTGCATTACTCCTCAGACTCTCAAATTACATTTCACGGAGACCTTTCGATTTTTCTAGATATATATATATATATATTTCATATGTGGCTTGTTTTATTTCAGTACTTCATATATTTGCAAAAGAGACACGAGCTTTAATGCAAAGCAATTGAGGCAGGGGGGGGCTCATTTAAACGCTAGATGCAAACTTTATGAGCAGTTTGTCTGTTTACCTCCTAAAACTGCATCAATTACCAGCTTAGAATTTCGAAATCAATGAAACTCTTATTTGTCCATCAAATGACAAAGTAAGTTGAAGTTTTGTTACTCACGTTTATTTTCCTGAAAGTTCAGGGCACATTGCCTAAGAGAAAGAAAAATTTCACTTGATGTGCAAATAAAACCCTTTTTCGCGGTGCAATCGTTCCTTCCCATTTGCAGTGGTGATTTCGATCACTCTGATTAAAACCTCCGCTATCAACATTGATTGGAGGGATGTGGACTGACTCGATCACATAAAATACAAAAGATCATTCCATATGGAATCAAGAACTTAAGTCAAACCTAAGCACTGACAGGATTTGGAAACCACACCCTTATCGGTACTTTCTGTGAACATCAGTAAAAAACAGATGAGTTCCAAGCCACTGGAATACTGAATTGAAAGAGTTAGTTAGACCCCATTCCAACTGCTATTTCTTTATTTGGACAGAAACAGTACCTAAAAAATTACTATTTGACACAGGTATGGGGAAGGTAAACTTAACTGCAGTAGGTTAAGAATACTTTTAAGATCTTTATTCACACAGGCTTCGAAGTTTTGGCAGAATAAAAATTGTATTGTATACTCATTGGCACCAAGAGTGATCCACTATTTCTCAAGTGAGGTAGATTATTGACGTATCAAATTTACCTTCACAACAACAATATTTCATGCGGTAAAGTAGCGATTGTCGTTTACTGTAGCGTTAAATTTTGTGACAGTGTCAAAAAATACCATAGCCAGCGGACCGTGCGAGTTTTACGATGGCCGGAGGTTGCAGGATAACGTGCTTTACCAAAATAAATCTTATTAGCATGACAAGACGATCCCGTAAAATGATGATTGAATGTCACAGACGTTAATTACAGCACAATAATAGAATAATAGACACAATAGTTGCTAATAGAATTAGAAAGAAAGGACTGGTAAACTTTAAGTTCCGTCGACGGATGGGGACTGGTAATCCATTTTCAGACCTCCCGATTTTGCGGTAAGATACTCTACCATTGAACTTAAAAAAACTGATCAACAAAGGCATGATTTAGATGCAATAAGCTTAAGTGTCCTCTCTACAACTAAGATCAGTACTGTCCTATTTATTTGCACGTTCACTTTCCATTTGTAGCCAGAAAAGCCTTACCACGATCAAGAACGGGACAATAACTCACATATCTTGCCAAACCATCAGAGACTCTAGAACTTACTCTCTCGCGGCCACAGCGCATATATATATATTTGACAAGGAGCGTGACTTACCAATTACGCTGTCCTTTTCATCCCTGTCACTTTAAGATTTGAGTGGCCCATTCCCGCCTCATTTGTAGCCTAGATTCAATTGTACCAACATTGATTCCCTTTTTGTCCAGGGTTAAATATTAGTAAACTTGTGACTTGAAGGTAATGCACCTCTTATCTCAAAGTCGGACTTTAAAAGTTCTCAGTCAGAGATTAGGACGAAGAAGGCTTAGCAGTTGTAGGTAGACAATTAGAGGTCCAACGCCGGAAGTCAGAAAATCATACGTCAATAGCCGACAAAACAACTCCGAAATCAAATTTCCAAAATGCGAAGTCTGAGGTCGGAAATAGAACTCAGAACTCCGAACTGGAATGTCCGAAATCTTAAGTCTGAGGTCCGAAATGGAAAAATTTTAAATCGATAGCCGCAAATAGAAATCGAACGTAAAAGCAGAAGTCAGAATTACTGTTGTGACGACTGATCCCCCTCTCCGTTCCCCCTGAAAACCATGCGGTCCCTCCTCCCCCCGCCCCTTCAAGGGCCCAAGAGCCTGTTTCTCGAAGTTTCTGCTAATTAAAAATAAAGCTGTTCTGTTTTCCTTCAAGTTGGGGGTTCCAGAAGAAAATGAAATTTATGGGCCACGGATAACTACCAAGCCATCAGCGGTGACGACCCAAATTGGCAGGCATACCTCTTGAAACGACCTTACCTCCTTCGGCTCAGAGATTACTCGACTTACTGGAGAGCTACTTGACGATACGACACAGATGGCACAGTATATACAGATTACCTGAAAGCCTCGATTAAGACTTTGATATCATAAGAGACGTACCCTTGGTGGAAGAAACTTGTCGTCCGCACGCATATGTGAACAATCGGGGAAATGAGTGTGTGAATTGCACGACAAGGACGTGGTATAAAAAAGGAGATTTTCCTCTCTATATTGATAGTTATTACCAGGATGGTTGTGATTTCAATGGAAGCAGAACAGACGCGGCTGTGTATAGCGAGGACAACTTTGGTCTTTATTATAATGGTCGTATAAATCCTAAATTCCGTTGTACTCCAAGCGAGAATGACACCACCCAGATTTGGATTGGAGGCAAGTAATTTCCTTACATATCAACACACCTGCAGTTTTAATTTCACTCAAGGAAATTGGTCCAGCTTAAAAATCATTTAGACATGGTTACCTTTAAAATTTGATCAGTTTTACTACACGCCTAATCACCAGCTGAGTAGTTTTGCAAGTAAGCAGTTTACAGGCTCGAAAAAGACTAAAAAAATCTTCGTTTAATTCCTGTATTACCAGATGCATGTAAATATAACAGTCCGTTTTAACAGTACGTGAAGATGAAAATTACATGGTTTCTGTATTATTACACTACATCACAGCTGTATGAGCAGTTTGCAGGTTTGAAACATGTTTGCGAGATTTTTTAGTTATGCTTGTAAATATGCAACTTTGTTTTGATTTAAATAAGAGCGAGTATGTAAGGTCAATAATATGGATGTTTCGAGACAATGTCAATTTGTTAGTTGTGTCACAATAAAATTTACCAGATCCTCCAAAGGCTCTGTAATATTCTAATGATCCCGCTTCATTGCCAGTCAATTTCCTATAGTCCCCCCTTAGTACTCTGTTAGCGACGACTGACCCTCCCCGCCCTCTCTGTTCTCCCTGAAAATCCACCCATATGAAAACGCCGGCTCTATCAGTTTTTTCAAACTCTTAGTGAAAATCTCAACTCTAGAAACCGATTGAATATTGCATTCCTCTTTTTTACAACAAAATCGAGAAATATTTCGTCAAAACGCCGTTTATAATAAACTCTATCGCCTGCTTTTCATTCAGCAGCTGTAGTTGGACATTAATCAATGTCAAAACTCAACTTTATTTTGGAATTATATGCACCCTTATGAAATGTAATGAGTTGCCGTTACTTTTGAAAACCCGTTTTTCTTTGGCTTTGGAGTAATATCGCAAGAACTGCGCACAATATCCTCATTACAAAGTGAGAAAAGACAAGGCTCTGTGAACGTTTTCTAAGAACCATCTTCTAAACGTTTACTGGAGTGGTTCCTTGTCGATAGTTTTCTATATTTTAATCTCTGATATGAACAAAGCAATGATTTCAAAAGCGTGATATTATTACGCAAGTCCTTGCCGGTAGACAGTGAGCGTAACAAGTTTGCTTCATGAATAAAACAACTGAATTCTCCTCACACTGTAAACTGACATTGCATCTGATGAACTTGTATGGTGAAGGTTATCACTTATTTGGCGTCAGGATATCAATAGTTAATCGTTCATATTCATATATAGATATTGTCTTGTTTGTTTTGCCGGCATTGAAGGAAAACCAAATGATAAAAGGTATTAAGTATTCAATATAATCACCCTGTTTTGCATTCCGCACGCAATTCTACCAGTGTGTTATTTTAAAAGAATAAAGAAGCCTTGAATGTGCTCAGTACGTTCTGTTATAGAGCACGTAGTAAGCGACTTGAGCACGAAAGAAGTGTAAGGAGAAACACGAGACTTAAGCGAGTGTTTCTTCCTCCTTCTTAAGTCAAATTTCTCTGGCATTACTCTCTACTTTCCAAACAATATGCAATATTTGATATGAAAAAAGTATCGTAACGTGTTAGCCGATACGTTTCTGGGATGGAAACAAAGGTTTCAGCGTGCCCCTTCGTATCTACCGATACTATAGGTAAAAGCGTCCGTTTCAGAGTTAGTTATCAGAGTCAAAAATTCAGGCTAAAATCCCATTCACACCAGCAAAGCGTGCTTGGTTAAATCAGCTTTAACTGGATGAAAATCAGAAACAGAGAACTGAAGAACTGAATTTTACATGGGTTTCATAAAGTCACTATCACTGTGCTAGATTTAAGCATAAACAATATCTGCAAAAACCCACAAAATCAGCATAGGTTATCCAACATGTGTTTTAAACAACACATTCGCAGTTTTGGAAGGAAGAAATTTGAAGTTATGTCTTTATGCGTGGGAAGTGGTTTTAAGTAAACATCGTTCTATAGTGCAAAATGGAATAAATGTATAAATGTATAAATGTATATGCATTCTTACAGCTGTGCTGCACTTTAAGTCTATTTGGAAAGTATATTGCATAAATATGAATGGTTGCGTAGGTTTACCAAAGTGTAGTAGTTTTCAAGCTGTTTGATAACAACGATGGTTCAAAAGTTTTTTTGAATACTCATTTCAGCTTTTCAAATAAAGAGCTACTACTCCACTGGAAAATGTGAAATGAACTCTTCCGAGTTTTCTGAGCAAATTGATCCACGAGAGAGTTTCTCAACAAATCAGAAGCAAAACTAAAACAAATTATGACCACTTATCCTCGTGGATGCTGATGTCTTCCCCAAAAGTATTTCAAAACAGAGAACATCAATTGTTTTGAGCTCGAGGTAACAGCTGCAAAAAGATGTTGGGAGATTTAAATTTTTGTGCAAAGCTGAAAACTTAAAAAAAAACCCTACCATTTCTTCCAGTATATTTTTAAAGGTCCTCTTTTATTCGGGTCTTGAAAGTAATCACATTTCCTTTTTTAAATTTTTATGAAAATAGGTGAATCTTTCGAATAAGGAAATACAAAAATGGAATCAGATAACTAACGGAGAAACATTCAATAAAGAACTGTTCCCGGCTAAAGGATAATTTGAATATCATTCGCAGGTCAAAAATATGATAGAATTTAATTCGTAGAGAAACTATTGGAAACAAATCGTCACAAAAATGGAAAAATCCGTCGTTTTCCCGATTCCGTGATAAAACATGTAGTTGTTTTTACAAAACGAGATCGACCTGAGTAAAGTAGAGACATAAAAAATAAAAAACTCGTCAGTTTTAGCAAATATTTGACATTATGTGATCTCGCTTGTTTGAATATTCAAAAAAGGGGTAATTTTTCGTTTCGTTGTATTGTTTGTTGCAGTCCAAACGTAACTGATTGGTGAGTCTAGCTGCAATTAAATTTCATATGCGTCAGCCGAATTTGCGTATCAACACGTATCAATACGTCTAGCGATTTGTATTGACCTCCAACAAGCGGAAACATTTTCGCAGCTTTTATAGTAGTCAAAAATATGCACAATTTCGAAATTTTGGATAGCTTTGCAATTTTCCCATAACATAGGGAAAAAAAATTGCTTAGTGGACGCTGTACATGATCATTAATTTCTGTCATGTATGTTTTTATTTCTCCAAGCCTTTGTGTTCACCGAAAAATATCTCTACAGATATATTAAAGTTCACGAGGCAACCAGGTAGACAATCAGACATGGTCACCAAAGTAGCATCAAACCATGCCTTGTCTCTTATGAGCTGAGCTCCATGAAAAATTAATTTGTGGCAATAAGATGATGGTGAAGAGAAATTTGCATTTTAGTGCACCCGAGGACCTCGTGTTGTGGGTAAATTGGCGATTGTTTTTTGGTTTGTTTATTATCTTTCTTGTTTTACTGACTCATATTATTCAACAGCATTAGTACATTAAGCTCCCATCAAATTTTAACCAACCTCAGACTGAATTTAATTTTTGGGGCCGGTATTGGAGTTTAAGTTCGGCTTTGATTCTTCATCGATAATGAAAAGAGTGTACGTTTTCTAACGTTTTGTTGGGTCTCTTTTACTGTAGGGCAAAACCAGGAGGATATCAGGTGTTGATATTGCTTTTGCAAAACTTATTGTTCCAAAAATTTAGCAGAAATACTTTTGAATTCCCCACGGGTGATATATGCAGCAAAGCGTAGTGATCTTGATAAAAACAATTGGAATTGGAATTGGAATTGTTTGTTCATGTTGTGATGTCTATTCTAGAAACTGATTCTTAGAAAGTTTTGCAGAAATACTTTTGAGTTACCCTCGGGTGATATATGCAGCAAAGCGTAGTGATCTCAATAAAAACAATTGGAAAAATTAATTGCATTCCATGATGGGCAAACTTCCTGAAAAATGTTTGTTCCTGTTGTGATGTCTTTTCCATAAACTGATTTGATTGGTTCCTCACACCTCAATTAACTTCTAAAGGAAAGGCGATGTCTAAATTAGTAATCTGCTCAAGAAAGACATCATGAGAGACATCGTTTTCTCGAGTGGGGTGTGAAAGGTAAAATGTTGGAAACGAAGTTTGTGTTTTTATTCATTTCAGTTTGGCAAGTTAAGGGAGACTGCCTCACAGGAAAATGTGAAAAGATCTCTTTTAATGAGCAACAACGTGCCAAGCAGAACCAAGAGCTTGTTGGCCGTGTTTTCAAGAATTCTGTTACGTTAAACCCAGCTCAGTGCTACTTATGGTGTATAAACGACTGTCGATGTTTGTCGATAAACTACAAAGTCAAGAACGAAACCAAATATTGCGAGTTGAACGAAGGCAACCATTTTACTGAAAAGAAATCTTTTGTAAACAATCCAGGATCTATTTATTACATACTGCGAAGAGAAACCTTCACTAAGGTAACAAATTTTATAGTTTTAAAAGCTGTGTTTACGGTGCATGATCGTTACTTCAGCTGGAATATGAGACATATATATCTTTTTTGGATATATTTTAAATTGTCTTGGCTCTATTAAAATTCTTTTAAATAGAAATTGACGATAGATTGCAAAAAATCACCACAATAAAAACCAATGTATCATGATAAACTCCTTGTCGCTGTCAAAATTGTTCTTCTGCGTGGATGCTGATCCTATCTACGAAATTATTTTTATGTTAAGCTCATTGTTTATCTTAAACCCGAGATAACAGCTGCAGAAAAAGACGTTAAATTTTTAACGTATTTTGCAAAACAGAAAACTCAAAATTTGAAAAATAACCTTGGTATTGGTCCTTAGTTGCAAGATACGTACGTCTTTTATTCGAGTCTAAAGGATGATGAAATTTTGTATTGAAAATAGTAATGATTTATTCGGTTTAAAACATATCAAAGTGGGATTAAAACAATTATCTTCAGCTTCAAAAAATTAGAAAGATCTATAGGAAAATCTGTGTTCTCCGTGAAAATTCAAACGTCACCTACTTCGTGGTGAAATGCTGAAAAATCTTTGAAACAAAACTTATTGACTCTTGCAAGACAAAATGCAATTCACTCCTAAAACTCTTGCTTTGCTGATTTTAGAGATTATTTCTCATTCGGTGATCTCTCCTGGTAGTCTGACTATAACATTGAACAAAGATGGTTCGATGAAATATAAAAAAACCCTCCTAGTATGGGAGATTGCTGGGAAATTAAGAGGTAATCTGCTTGCAAGTTTGATGATTTTTATGTTACATTTAAAAAAAAGATCATAATGATGAAATGAAACAATAATTTGTATTTTAATAAATTTTTGTACATAAGGCTCCCAACGCTCCATGTACCACTGACGTCACATGTAGCAACGGCTGCTGCGAGAACAATCCGTGTCTCAATGGAGGAACCTGCTCTGAGATCTGTCAGCCCACAAATGTTCGGTACAACTGTTCCTGTTCTGTACCGTTTGTTGGTAAACACTGCGAGATTCAGCTGAGAAGAAGCTGTCAGGATTATAAAGCAGCCAGGTTCACCGCCTCTGGATTGTACACCGTTATTGATGACCGAAACCAAACTTTCCAAGTATTCTGTGATTTTGATTCTGAGCCTGGGTTCGCATGGAACCTGATTGAGTCATTCAATTTGTCCAACAACCACCTTTTTAAGGTAATTTTGCTCAGATTTTAAAGCCATAAAGAAATAATGAGGATGCGAAAATTAAGTTCCCTCAAAAATTAAATGCCTTCATTTTGAATTTTTTTCTTCGTAAGTTAAGTTCGTCTCTCTTTTTAGAAGCTTTCGTCACTAATGATGTCTTCGAATAATTTTTTCGACAAAAGAAATCTTGTTTATACATAATGACTATCCAGACTCGAGTGCCATTCGCAATAATGCTTCAAATTGAGAAGGGTACGTTATGAAAAGTTCAGCCTAACTTTTGTTTCAAGCTGCAAGAATCTTAAGTTCAGGAATATGTTAGTGATATTTACCAACTGAAGTTCACATTTTCTGTCTGCAGCTGATCGTATTTTACGATGACTACCGAGCCATCAGCGGTGATGCTCCAAATTGGCAGGCCTACCTCATGGAACGACCCTACCTCCTTTGGCTCAGAAATCACTCGACTCACTGGAGAGCTACTTGCCGATACGAGACAGATGGCACCGTACGTACAGATTACCTGAGAGCCTCGCTTGAAGACTTCGACATCATTAGACAGGTACCCATAGTGACCCATGACTGTCGACCTTACGAATATGTGAACATCCGGGGAAATGAGTGTGTGAATTGCACAACAAGGACCTGGTATAAAAAAGGAGCTTATCCTTTCCATATCGATAGTTTCTACCAGAATGGCTGTGATTCCAGTGGAAGCATTTCAAACCAAGCCGTACACAGCGAGGACAACTTTGGTTTCTATGACGTGGTCAATCCCAAATTTCGATGTACTTCAAGCCAAAATGCAACGACTCAGTTCTGGATTGGAGGCACTTTATGACTTTCTAATCCCTGACCCAGTTCCTGTTAAAAAGCAGGAAGTTCACTTAACCCAGGAAGACATTTATCCACCTCAAAAATGTTATTACACTCATAAAGTTAGAGCTCTATAAAATATTTATCTTTGAGGTTACCTTAGCGGTTAGATATATGGGGGCTGGTAACCTCCTAGACACTGCATAGGATGAAATAGCTCATTTAAGTTGTCTTAAAGTAACGTAAAGACTAGCATAAGAAACATGAGGTCTCACAGTTATTTGCGCTAGAGGTTTAGCAACCTTGTTAGCTTTGGTAGGAAAGTCCACGGCCAGAGGAGTTTAAGCTCAGTTTTATCTTTAAGATGTGTTTTTTTTTCTAGCTCTTCTTCTGACGCTAGAAATTATGCCATAAACAATAAATTCAATGCAAAACTGCAGAGCACAATAGGTAAACGTTCGCACCATTAACTACGGTCGGAAGTTAGTTCATGATTTGAAGCAATTTTAGCAATCAATGTAGAATTTGTGAGTGAGCTTTATTGAAAAGCAGTGTAACTTTTAATAAGTTAATTGTTGGGTTCTCAATCTGAAAGCTGCAACTTTGTATTGAACTGTAAGGAAGAAATGTAAATGTGTGCCCTTCTATATGTGCCAAAGAACTGTTCATAATTCTTTATTGTAGAGAGTTGAATTTTTTGTGAAGAAATCATTAATTGGTCTTAATTTTCATAGTTAGTGAAAACACAGTCAAAATACACTTTCCTACGATTGTTGTGCAAATGGTGCACGGTGACATGATGTGTGACAAGCTGTATGACACTTCCCTGTATAGACGATAAGGGTAAACCAATGATTGAATCTTGCCTATTTGAGCGGAAGGCAAACCATTAAATTCATTACTCCTCAGACTTTCAAATTACATTTCACAGAGATCTTTCGATCAAGAAGATTTTTCAAGAGATATATATATGTATCTGAAGGTTGAACATGCTTACGTGATCATCAGACAGATTTTAATCTTATTGATTAGTTCAACCTTCAGATACACCACACTCTGCGAACGCATCGAGCCCTATACCGCAAAGATAGACTATAACCAAGATATATATGTATATATTTGCTCTTTCATCAAAATCGTTTAGCTGAATTTCACCCATCATTCTTTTACCATTTCGTTGAGCCATAAATTTTTTTTTGCCAGGGATTGGTCCGGGGAATATTTCATATGTGGCTTGTTTTATTTCAGCACTTCATAAATTTGCAAAAGAGACACGAGCTCTAATACAAAGGGGGGGGGGGAGTTCATTAAAACGCTAGATGCAAACTCTATGAGCAGTTTGTCTGTTTATCTCCTAAAACTGCGTCGGATTCCAGCTAAGAATTTTGAAATAAATGAAACTCTTATTTTCCCATCAAATGACGAAGTAAGTTGAAGTTTTGTTACTGACGTTTATTTCCCTGAAAGTTCAGGGCACATTGCCCGAAAGAAATAAAAATTTCACTTGATGTGCAAATGAAACCCTTTTTCGCAGTACAATCGTTCCTTCCCCTTCACCGTGGTGATTTCGATCACTCCGATCAAAACCTCCGCTATCAACACTGATTGGAGGGATGTGGACTGTGGACTGACTCGACCACATAAAATACACAAGATCATTGCCTTAAAAGTTAAACCTAAGCACTGACAGGATTTGGAAACCAAACCCTTATTGGTACTTTCTGTGAACATCAGTAAAAAGTAGATGAGCTCCAAGCCACTGGAATACTGAATTGAAAGAGTTAGTTAGACCCCATTCCAACTGCTATTTCTTTACTTGGACAGAAACAGTACCTAAAAAATTACTATTTGAGACAGTTTATGGGAAGGTAAACTCAACTGTAGTAGGTTAAGAATACTTTTAAGATCTTTATTCACACAGGCTTCGACGTTTTGGCAGAATAAAAACTGTATCATTGGCATCAAGAGTGATCTAGTATTTCTCAAGTGAGGTAGATTATTGACGTATCAAATTGACCTTCACAACGACAATATTTCATGCGTTAAAGTAGCGATTGCCGTCTACTGTAGCGTTAAATTTTGTAACGGTGTCAAAATGAACTATAGCCAGCGGACCGTGCGAGTTTTACGATGGTCGGAGGTTGCAGGATAACGTGCTTTACCAATATAAATCTTACTAGCATGACAAGACGATCCTGAAAAATGATGACTGAATGTCACAGATGTTAATTGCAGCACAATAATAGAATAATAAACACAATAGTTGCTAATCGAATTAAAAAGAAAGGACCGGTAAACTTTAAGTTCCGTCGGCGGATGGGGACTGGTAATCAACTCTCAGACCTCCTGATTTTGCGGTGAGATGCTCTTCCATTGAACTTGAAAAAACTGATCAGCAAAGGCATGATTTAGATGCAATAAGCTTAAGTGTCCTCTCTACAACTAAGATCAGTACTGTCCTATTTATTTGCACGTTCACTTTCCATTTGTAGCCAGAAAAGCCTTATCACGATCAAGAACAAGAAAATAACTCACATATCTTGCCAAACCATCAGAGACTCAAGAACTTATAATCGAGCGGCCACAGCGCATATATATATTTGACAAGGAGCGTGTCTTACCAATTACGCTGTCCTTTTCAGCCCTGTCATTTTTAGATTTGAGTGGCCCATTCCCCCCTCATTTGTAGCCTATAGTTACATTCAATTGTACCAACATTGATTCCCTTTTTGTCCAGGGTTAAACATTAGTGAACTTGTGACTTGAAGGTAATGCACCTTTTATCTCAATTATTGCTGTACCTCTCTTTTTTAAAATTTCAATTGAAGGCAACGGCTTATGTACTAGTGTTTACTACAAACCTACAGATTCACATATTTACTTGTTGTATTCATCTTCACATCCATCACACGTCAAGAACTCCATACCTTTTTCACAGTTTCTCAGACCTCGTCGTTTACAATGTGCCAATTTTTCGATAAACGTGGCTATCCTGTTTCTGTCGCACCACCGTGCCCAACAAATCGATCGACAGTCAGCACTACAAACGGCTGAGAAGGAAAACACTGACCTTATTCCATTTACTCTAACATTTCACCCTCACAACCACGCAGTTAAATCTATCATTCTTAAAAATTTTAAATTACTCCAAAACGATTCAGAGACTGGCACTATCTTTTCACAACCCCCACTTATTTCATTCAAACGTGACAAAAAAATAGGCAACTTTTTAGTCAGGAGTTCATTTCAAACCAATGACCAATCTGGAACTTTTAAATGCGCTCGCTCACGATGCAAAACTTGTCCTTTCATTCATAACGTAGAGAAAATATCGGGACCCAAGAGATCCATTAAGATCATTGATCACTTTACGTGTACCTCTGCCAATGTTATTTACTGCATAACTTGCACTTCTTGCAATAAGTTATACATCGGCGAAACAGGAAGACGACTAGGTGACCGATTCCGAGAACACCTTCGCGACGTGGAAAGAAATGACAAGGACGCATCCAAACCAGTCGCTAGACACTTAAATCTTCCTAATCATTCTAAACAGCATATGGCAGTTTGCGGCCTTTCCTTGCATCTAGGCAGTTCGGAAAGCCGTAAAACACTAAAACAAAAATTTATCTTCCAAATCGGCACCCTTAATCCCCACGGAATCAATGAGCGCTTTTCATTCAACTAATTTATTCCTGTTTTCTCGTCACCATATTCCCACCAATGGCGTAGCTCCTCTTTCTGCATATAAACCCACACACAACACACAATTCCTCCAATCGCTCTGAAGAAGGGCTAATGCTCGAAACGTCAGCTTTTTTACTCTTTACGGTGGCTAATTTACGTTTTCAACCCAGTTGTTAACACTAAATTACCTGATGATTTTCAAGTTTAGTTCATGGTTCAGTCTAGGTTCAACTTTGCCATGTCTTTGGGGAGGAAGGTTACCGTCGTTCGTCATCTATAGGACAGGGCACACCGGAATTAAAGCTTGCGTCTTTCCCATGCAGTTCCCGCTTAAAGCCGCTTTTACACGCAACCAAAATGGCGTTGAAGAGAAACCTGTCACAAACATCGTGCATTTTGACATAATTATTAAGTCACCGCATCTAGTCCGGAATTGAGTTGTCTTATCGCTAAACATCTATGTAACTCAAATAAAGAAGGTTTTAAAATGCTTTAAAAATACGTAATTTACACTTGTTTTGTATTTCTTTTTTTTGAAAAGCATATTTTAAGAAAATGAAGTATAATTTTAAAAAACGACTATAATCTTGAGCATAATTTGGAATAATAATAATAATTACAACTTTATTTATGGAGGGTAACACACAACTGTAATTCAACTGATGAACTAGTGGCCATCGATCCTAAAAGTACCGTAGTTAGAATTAAAATGTATTCGAGGATTATAAAAACAGGTCAAAAGATCTATAAGGATGCAAGCTAAAAATAAACAGATAAAATAAAATATGCCGCTTGGATCAGGTTAAATCACATTCGGACTGAAATGTTCTACTTCATCGTAGCTCGTTAGAAGATGTCTGTGAAAGGCCTTTCTGAAAGAAGCAACTGTTGTCGCCCATTTTTTCGGTTTAATGGGTATTTGGTTCCACAGCCTAGTCGCAGATACGCTAGAGGTCCTTCCTCCCTCCCTCGGTTTCGCGATTGAAACGAGGGCAGGCGAGATTTAATTTACCATAACGACCAGTTCGTGTGTGTAGGTCTGCATTCAATTTGAGTGGATCGTACATATATGCAGGACAGCTTCCTTGTAAACGTTAAAAAAAAACTAAAATACTCTTATTTAACTTGACCTCGTCATAAAAAGGGAGCCACGCTAATTTCTTAAAGTGTTTCACGCTGTTCGACCTTGTATCAGCTTCCAAGATAACTCGGGCAGCGCGTTTTTGAAGCTTGAAGACTCTCATTATGTTATCACTTGAACAGTTCAACCAATGAGCAATGCTAGTATAATTTTCTATTTTTACCAACACAGTCTCTAAAGGTCTAGTATGGGAGCTCTCGGGCCCTTTTCTGTAGGCATCTATGTCCTTTCGCTCTGACGAAGGGCTAGCTCTCGAAACCTCAGCTTTGAAATTCTTCACGGTGGCTAATTTACGTTACCAACTCAGCTGATAATGCTAAATTACCCTGTTATACTCTCCAACCAACACAGCATCACAGTTTCTGTAGAAACTTACCCCCTTTATCCATGTCCAAGCTTTCCTTAAAAGAGAGCTCTCTTTACAAAGGCCTGGGCAGTCGGGGCATTCTGAATCCATCAATGCGGATGATGAGGTCTTCATACCGGCCACCGTGAAGAACTGTAGCCGGTGAAGAACCTTCTGGAGATCGGCGCGGTTAAACGACATTAACAACTCCATTAGTTTAAGTACCGCTTATAGTTACATTCTCACTGCCAAAGGGTAGGTTAAGAGAACCACGCGAAGTTTCCGAGCGAAGTTCTCGCGCGACGACTGAAAATACCTCCACTCCACTTGGGCCATGACGAACTTTGATACTGACTTGATTACGCATATAACAAAAAACGGGAGCTAGCAGGGGACCCCATGGGTTATTTTTGCCCGGGAGCATGATGGGATAGCCGCACTTTAAGTTCCGCCATGTTGGTTTACTTCTGCCCGA